AGGGTGGGGTTAAAGATATCAAAAATACACAAAATACCAACATATTTGACCTTCCAGCTATTCCTGCCAGGAATGAAGTCTTCAGAGAGGTATTTTCACCCTTGAGCAGCTTTGCGAAAGCTAGGAAGCCACAGAATAATGCCCAGTTTGGGGGAAGGGAAGGGTCGGGGCCCAAGGCAGGATGCATTGCGTCTGAGGTGGAACATTCATGTTCCTGATTTAAAGGATTGGCACAGTGTGGCTTAATCTGGGGCAGCATTACCAGAATTTGTAATATGTGCAGTTGTTTGTAAAGAAATATTTGTATGTACAATGCAAATAGGATGCACATCACACACACAGTTTTAATAGGCGTAGTTATTCTATTCTATTCTCAAAAAATTTTAAAAAAGAAGTGAGAAATGGATTTGGGGAGGCAATGAAAGTGTCCCTTGTTTTTATGGCCAGGCATCTTTCATCCAATAGCAGAAATGTGGGTACAGAGATGGGTTCATAAAATCACTGCTGAAGTTATCTTTATTTTTTAGAAAGGGGCTTAAGGACTCCCACATATCACATTTTTAGCTTGGACCTCCTTCCTGGGCCGACTGCAAAATGTTAGGGATTGCTGCTGCAGTTTGCAGTTCCTCAGCCTGGGAAGGAATGCACTCTGCACATGCTCAGAGGGCGAAGAGACTCTTCAGTAGCTTGCGATTGGTTCCAGAGGCCTTTCTTAGACTAAGACTTGCGCGGATGGATGGTGGGTGGGAGGGAGGGAGGGAGGCCATCCGGGCCTGGCTGAGGTTTGGGGCAGGAGGCTGCTCGCGAGTAGGGAGTGGAGAAGATTTCTGAGAATATCCTTGCCCAGGAAAAAGTGACTCATGCTCTCGAGTAGCCCACTGATGCACGACCGGTTCCATAGAAGCAATGCCCAGGCGCGCACGGCACAAGCCGCGCCGGTTCGGCTGGGTGGTTTGGAATTTCTGGCTGGGCCATCCGGCATAATGAGGCAAGAGCAAGCCCTGGGGGCCCCCAACATGGAAAGCAGGAACCTGGGATCCCCAGACCTGACACAGCGTCCTGGGGTTGCCAGCGCTTCCTCCCGACAACCTTATCCGGCCCTCTGCTTTTTCACCGTGACTTGGCAGACGGAAGTCTAACCGGCAACGTTTCCTCTGCATTGAGAAAGGCACCCCTGTTCAGTGTCTGCCCATCGCACAGGTCTTCAAAGGCAGAGCGGGTTTAAAACCTTTCCCTCACACACGCTAGGACTGAACTTGGGGGGTCCTCTGGGGGAGAATGGGAAAAGGGGGGCAGTACAAGTGAAGGGAGCAATTTTCCGGGGCCTGCAATATTTGGGGGAAATGGGGCAGGGAAAGTTTCGCCCAAGGTAGCAATCAGACTTGCGGATGGTTTGGGATGATCGTGGGCACACGGACTCTGAAGGATGCATTTCACCTGAGATAATTTGGATGAGCAATGAATCAGCCAGCTTGGCCTCCTATGGAATTTAGATAACCCCCAGATATAATTTCTTTGCTGGCATCTATAGATATACTTTTTAAAAAATATGCAAGTTTTATGCAAGCTGGTGTCCTATGGACTGGAAACCTGACTCTTTTAAGGTGCTGCGTGTGTTTGGACAGGGAAAAAAGGCATACAGCTTGCACTGTAGGAGTCTTTTGTGTCCAAGCACACAGGATCACATCCGTAAGTGCAGAGTGGCTCTCTGGGATCCACGGACAGGAGCCACCATCCCATGATCCAGAGGGAGGGATTAGCAGTCTCAGGGGAACTCCAAGTTTTGCAGAAGTTAAAAACATCTTCTGGGAAAAGGAAACTAAGCAGGGGAGAGGGAAATCCATAGCAGGGTTCTGAGGGCTGAGCTGGCTCAGTGGCAGTTCTTGGAGGAAGCGGGTGGCAGTGGAAGGAAATGGGGAAAAAAATCAGGGGGAACTGCAACGGAGTTCCCTGAAAGAACACATGGCTGCAAAATTCTGCTGCCGCTGCCCACGCTGCAAAATTTTGTTGCCGTTCTCACTTGCCTATAATGTTATCCCTGCTTTCATCCAGGAAATGTTGCTAACCCACAGAGAAAGGGCATGGGCTTCATCTGATCTCTGATCTCATCGCTATCCCTGCAGAGCCTGTTCTGGGTTAGTGTGTTTCTGAGCATGTGCAAAGAAATTTCCTTTGCTGCTGTGTAAGCAAAGCAGTGTGACCCCCAGGGCTTCCAGGCCCAGATATGCTGACCAAATTGACACACATCCATGCAATGATCAACTGCAAGAAAAATGACTTTTTTTTCTTTTCTTTTTTTGCAGAATGCAGGTCTACTTGCCTGCTCCTCCTCCTCCACAAGCCTCCGAAACGAGCCCCAAGCACTATTCCTGCTCTGCAATGATGCCCAACATCTCAGGAGTTGTGTGTTTTCACCATATCTCTCAGTTCACACCCCCCTGTGATGAGCTTTCCCTTGCCTCTGCCGCGCACTCCCTGGTCACTCGGCCGTGATTTCTAGCGTGCCCTTCATGTCCCGCTTTGCACCAAAGGCTCCCGGATAGTCCTAATTCTGCACTCGATTCCTTCACCCCAAGAAACATCTACGGGCAGCAGAACCTCCAGGATGGCAGACCGCATCTGGCCCCCCCCGGGGTCCCAAGTGGCAAAATGTCCTGCAGAGAGTCACTCCCCTTTTCCTGGCTCCCGTCCGCTGCTCTGAGGCACCAATGCATTGGTTGGCTTCTGGCTCGGGCGCAATTTGTCCCATCCCACAGAGGAGCTTCAGGTGAAAAGGCGCTGGCATTTTTAGTGCACTGGCCCAGCCACTTCTGCCTTTGACTTGTTCCACTCGCCTTTTGCTCTGCTTGAGCCCCCAAAAGCTCCTCCGGAATTGAAAGTGGCCCTTGAGCTGAAGGGGTTCCACATCCCCGATAGACAACTGTTCGTTTTGGACTCAGGTCCCAAATCAGCCCTATTGCACATTCTCCAGAAAATATTTGGAGGGTCCTTGCTGAGCCAAAGCAGGACCCTCAAGGGGCCTCAGGTACCCGCCCTCTATCTTTTAGCCAGACCTGTCTCACAGGGTTGTTGTGAAATTAAAGGTTATTTGGTATCTTATCACTCGCTCTCTCTCACTGGGATTTTCAGACTGGAAAGAATTCCTTTTTGAAAAGGAAAGAGAAAGAGAAGGGGAGGGGATCTCTGCCCACATCTCTCAAGGCTGACGTGGCCTGCTAAAGCTTTCCACATCCCTCCCTCTCAGTAGCAGCACCTGCAGGTCTCACACACCCAGAGATCCATCCTGCTGCTTCCATGCTCAGCACCCCCACGAGGGAGGCGCCCTCCTGCAGGAGCAACCATTTTCGGCAACCCAGCCAGCTCCTTTGGTATCCACTTGCCAACTTGGCCAGCGCTGGCCTTGCCTAAGCGCCCTTGCCCCCGGAGCCGGGGGGCCCAAGTCTGGCAGCCCCTTCTTCCTGAGGTCCACCTCTGAGCTCCGAAGGCCAGGTCATGCCAGTCAAGCGGAGCCCAGGGATGTCATGCCCCGTGGCAACAGCAAGAGCGGGTCTGCCTACTCCGGGTTCAGGTTCAGAAGTCAAATGGGCTTTTTTGCTGGCCCAGTTCCAGTGCTGCCTCTGGGGGTGCTGAGGACCAGCCTCTTCCCCCCAACCATCAGCGGTTTGGTAGTTTCTAGGATTTTGCCTCATCCCACCTTCCCTTCTTCTAAGATGTTTGGATGCTTCTCCTAAGGTTTGTCTACCTGTGGAAAGCACTTGGACCTAAACGCTGCTAGGATTTTCTGCTCCACCCCTTGACTTTCTGCCATGCCCACTTCTGCCTTTGGTCCTGCCAGCTTGCAGAATCCCAGCCCGGAGAACTTCTCCAAACTTGGACATTGCCCTCAGCGCTGGAGTAGGGGCAGACTCTGACCATGGTGGGGCTGAGCCTAGCATGCTTCTTGTCTTGACTTCCCTTTCCAAATATTCCCATTATTCCCGAAGGCTCTAAAGTGGGGTTGCGTCCCCAGGACTCCTTGACACCCATCCTGGCCTGGCTGATTAAGGATGGATGGACCCTGAAGAAGGCCTTTCCAAAAGGGACTCATCCATGTAAATCTGCCACTCCAGAGATCTTGGATGAGAACAGAGATCTCAGTTCATACATTTGAGCCCAGTTCTTTGACAGCCCGAAAACCATCTGGTTCTGAACCACAAGCACCCCCTTCCTGGCCTATCTTCATTCCCAAAATCAGCATCTCAAAGGACTCTTGGATTAACTTCCAACACACACACACTTCCTGGAATTAAATTTCTCCTCCCAGTGCTGTGACCTCAAGCACCCCAGAACCCCCTTCCTGTCCCCTTTCCCATGTCTGCCTAACGTCAAGATTTCAAGCGCCTCCTCGCCGAATATTCCTTGCTCCTGCTGCACCGCGCAAAAAATTCTTTGAGGAGTTGTGCGTCTCCTTGTCTCTCTGACACGCCGCACCACTGATCCACCGCGACTCGTTTCCACCCTGCCTTCCCTCCGGGTCTTCCAGCGTCCCTCCGGTCCCGCAGAGCCTCTGCCTTCCCTCAAACCCCGCTCAGGACCCTGGCGGCGAACTTGTCAGGATGTCTCCCAGTTTCTAAAACTTCCATGCACTCCGTCCTCGAGTCCCTCCCCTTTCCGCCGTCTTTCTCGAGGATCCAGCCGCCCCACGCTCCACCTGGGCTCCTGGCATGGATGCCCACACGGACCCGCGTCTAGCCCACACACCTCCCAGTCCCGTGGCGTGATCCCCCTTCTCCCACGAAGCGCAGCCCTCCGCATCCCATGCTTCACGTGTGCCCCTTTGCGCCAATACGCACGGGGGCCCCCACGCCCTCCGCGCGCACCCAACTTCTTCGAGCGCTCCGGCACCTTGCCAAGGCTCGGGGGCTCTCGTCCCCGGCTGCTCTGCCCCTCTGGGGCTCCCGGGGGTCCCAGGGCCCCCTGCACAGACGCCCCCGCGCCCCTCCCCGCCCTCCGGCGCTCACCTGGCACTCACAGGAGCTGCGGCGGCGGAGCGTCTCGCCTCGGCCTCTCCGTCGGCTCTCTCTGGACCGCAGAGGTGCGCGCTCCTCTTCTGGCCCTCGTGGGGTGGAGCCGCCCTGAGTAGTGTCACAACTATGAGAAGCATCCGGGGAGGGGAGGGGCGGGGGCCAGGGGGAGAGCGCAGCTCTTGCTCCAGCGCCGCGCAACTTGCGCTTCCCGCGCAGCCGGCTGCCTCCCGGACAGGCGGTGACACAAGCCTCGCCGAGCGCGATGCGGTGCGTCAGGAGGGGGCGTGCGGGAAACCCCAGCCATGACGCAGGGGCAACCGTGGCGTGAACTTCCCGACCTGGCCGTGGGCCCGGAAGGGGGGCGATGTGCCAGGGCCGGGCTCGGGGGCCAAAGTCTGTCGGCCCCCCAGAAACGGCCTTCTCCGGGACTGGCTGGGGACGTGGCCGGCCGAACCCAACTCTGTTTTCTTGCTGTGCTAAGATTTCGGGGAGTTTACAATGAAAAACTTCACACACCCAGAAACGTGTTTGCTTGTGTTTTAATCAAGGTTGGGAAATAGTTTTATTCATTCTGGTTTACAGGATTTCTGTGTGACTCCACGTACAAGCACACTTTGAAACAAATAAAAGGGAAAAAAACTCAGTAAATTAAAAGCAAAATAATATTCAAGCCATGTCTGATCAGCAAAAAAAGGCTTCGCAGAATAAGATGATCTTTAGCAGGTGTGGAAAACAGTGCAGTGTCAGTGCCTTCCTGTCCTCCCGAGGTCAGGAATTCCATAGAAATGGGGTCACCATCCTGAAGCTCAGCTGGGGGATTCCAGGCTGGCTCAGGTCCACGTGGAACTACTTGGCATTGCTCCTGTGATGTCTTCTGTGACTGGGCAGGTCAATACCGGAAACTGACTTTTCCCCAGAATTGTGTTCCCAAGGTGTTTGTGGCTGTGTGTGCTAGAACCGGCACGTTATCTCTGGTCCAGGAGTGAATGGAGAACGGGGGCTGCTCCTTCAGCAAAGAAGATGCCAAGGAAAGAGGAAGCTTGCGACGGTGTTGGTGGTTCCGTCATACCAGCGACACGGAAGCAGGAAACAGTGGCTGGAGCCACGGAGGACGAAGTGCCCACTGCGTGACATTTCTCCCCTCTGTCATCCTGCTAGGTCCCCAAAGAGGCCATCCCATGAAGCTGATTGGTGGGAGATTCTGGGCAAATAAAAAGAGCTCATGGGGAATGTGGTTATTCCGTGGAATTCACCTCCACCAGGTGTGGGGATGAGCTGGCCACCAGTCTGGGTGTCTTTCAAAAGGGATTGGACAAATTCCTTGGCTATCCATGGCTGTTGGGCCTACGTACGCCTCTGTACACCCTTGCTGGGGAACATGGGTTGGAAGGTGTGCACCGATCCTACGGGTGGGTTTCCGTGGTCACCCACTGTGCAAACACAATGCTGGCCCCGATCCGGCGGGGCTCTTGCTGTCTGACGTGCTTCACGACTGTGAGCCCATGAAGTCTAAATCAACCCCCATGCAGCACAGGTAAGGAGGTGTGGACAGGTAGGAAGCCGCGAGGATGAAATGGCACAGGTAGGGTTGGCACAAGGCGGAATTGTAGTCCCACCCGCCCTCAAAGGAAGGTGCGTGCCTTTTTATGCATCCACAGAGGTATCTTAACAATAAAGAGGATCAGCACAGCGACAGCAAGGTGGGCTACTGGGGGGAGGGGGGACTCTGCCCTGAGAGGTGGCCAAGGAACATTTTGAATAAACAAACAGCAACTGTTAATGAAATCATGCTGCATCTTGATAATACCAGAGAACACAAACCATGTGGATCAGACCACGGAGATCCAGAGAGCCTCCGCCCGAGGGCATTTCTGTAAGATGTAAGAATGTCCTGCTTTTTTTCCTGCAAGGAACCTGTGGTAGCTGACACAGTTCTATCCTCCAGTTTGTCCTCACAACAACAACGCTGCAAGGCGGGGCAAGAGCCTGTGATTGGCCCAAATTCATCCAGTGAGCTTCATGGCTGAGTGGGGACTAGAACCCACAATGCCTGAGTCCCAGTCCAACCCTCTAACCACTCTGCCACATCGCTTTCATTACCTGGATTACCTAAATCCCAGCCTAACCACTACATAGTACTGTCTCACCACTGACAGATCTCTCAGTCTTTCTGTATAAATCTGTCTCATTGCCTTTTTGAAGTTGTGCAGTGGCCATTACCAGCTTATGCTGTACATTAATTACATGTTGTAGGTCTCTGCCCCAAGGAGCTTACAAACTAAGCTCTGCAAGAGTTGTGGGGTGCGGGGGAATTCCTGATTTGCCATACTTGGAGAAGGAAGCCACTGGGTTATACGCAATGTTAACTTCACTTAGAGTAGACCCAGTGAAATGACTTCAATGCGGACTAATGTTGGATACAACCAGTAATTAGCAGAGGGTCCGTTTTGCTCAAACGGCAAAGCGGATGCTTCATGGCTTTGTCACCCATGATGCACAGAATGTGTGTGTGGTTTCTTGGAAATAGTTTGGCGAGGATGCCTCTGCCTGGGTCAAGATCCTGGAGGTTAAACCTGTACAAGGTACCTGCCTCTCTTCCCAGCATCTCCAGGTAGACTCAGAATCTCTCTCACCTGCATCCAGGTGTGGTGCTCAGAAAAGAATTGAGGGCAAACAGCCAGTTCTTGGGGGAGGGGGGGAATCAGATGCCACGGGGATCCTCTGGGCCCCTGGACCTTGGTTTCAGCAAGTGCCCATGGACAGCAGGGTGTGGGGCAGGCAGAGGGCCTCCTAGAGATTTGAAGCTCCCCATGGAAGGTTTGGGGATCCAGCCCTCACAGACTGCCCCCTAACGCTGCCGGAACCCTGGAGTGCCACCATCTGGCTAGACATGGCCCATCCTTTTGGCCGGCGGGCCGCAGCTGTGGGAGACGTGGGCCTCTGGGATGAACGTGTGATTTCCCTGTGACTTGGCGTGATTTTGTGTCTTCTGAGTCTGGTGGGGAGCAGGCAGAATGCAAAAGTCGGGGCCCCTGAGGCCTGCGTGAGCCACTGGCCCCAACCTTCACCGCACAGGCCGGCCGGCCGGCCGTGTCCTCCACTGCCTTGAGAGCCAAGGAGGGCTCTGAGACGTCCTGGCAGGAATCCCGCGCCTCCGACAGCTGCGACAGGTGCCGTGAGGGGGCGGAAAGGAATGCTGGAGCTTGTGAAGTCATCCTTTTGCGTCCTGGGCTTCTCTTGGCGTGTGTTGGGGAAACTGGCTGGAAAAGCCCTCAGCTCCGAGAGCGAGAGCGGAGCACCAGCAGCGCTGACGCAAAATGCGGGGCGGTGGATCGGGGAGGTCCGCACTCTTGCATTTCACAACAGCCTCGCACAGCAAACCAGGCTATTCCTGTGCAGCTGGTTCTTCCCAGGGATGCGCCTCTCCGGGCGGGGTGGGGAAGCTCTCTGCACCAGTGAGTCGCCGCTGGGGATTCCTTGACCGAGGAGGTGCCACAGCCTGGCAATGGGACCCAGGAGTCCTGAGCCCCCAGCCCTCTCCCCAGTGGCTCTCGTCTGCTATTCTCATGCTGGAGCCAGGCGCGTCTGCCCCAGAGTCGCTGCCAGCAGGGCCCAGCAACTCTCCCGGAGCTGCTTTCGGGACCCAGGAGAGCTGGCCAGGTCCCAACGCTGAGCAGCATCTGAGCGAGGCAGAGGTGTTGCCCTGCAGAAGGGTGCGTGTCGGGACAGGTTGCGGGAAGGACGGGGGAGCATCACAAGGGGGGAAAAGGGCAGAGAAGGGTGACAACTCCATGCTGAACGATCTGCCAGGCCCTGACTGACAACTGCCTCCTTTGAGTTCCCCGTGAAGCACCTGGCTTCTTGAAGCACAGTGCAGCAGACAAACATTCAACCGGTGCAGCTTTCCTTAAGATGGCTATTTAATGCTACCTATTTTTTCCTGATTGCATTTTTATCCTGCATTTCACTCAGGGAACTTGGGTGGTTCTTTTCCGTGCCCTGCACAACAACCCTGTGAAGTAGGTTAGGCTGAGAAATAGAAATTAACTTTGTAGTTAAGCAATCGGAAGGCTTCACTTGTTTGCCAAACACACCCGGAGGTGGCTGGGATGGAAAAGGCGACATTTTTTGTCTCCGCTTTCAGAAGCTTTCTTCAGCCTCTCAAAGGGGCCTGGTGTTTGTTTGTTTTTTAAGTTTAAAGTGCAGAAATGCTGGGGTTTAGGCCTGGATTAGCGCCTGGGGAGCTATTTTCTGCAGGGGCTCCAAGGTGCTTTCTCTCCTTTATTCCTTGGTGCCCTCCGGGAGCTCCAGGCCGGTGCTCCAGGATTGAGTGGTGGTGAAACCACATGGCTGGCATGCAAGAAAGGGGACCCGATTTGTCTCACAACTTTGTTTGGCACAGGCTGGTCTGGGCACAAATCGGACCATCTCCCTTTTCTCTCTTGGCAGGCCATTCGCTCTCCCAGTGCGCAGGGCCTTTTGGCAGCGACCCTTGGCCAGAACGGTTCCTGACAACCAATTCTGCTTTCCCCAAAGGTCTCCATGTTCAGATCTGTGCCTAGAGACGTCTGGCAACTGTAGGAAGAAATAAAGTCTCTCTCCCTGCCAGTAGCCACAGTTCTGGCCTGGAGCCTGGCCTTTTTGGGAAATCTAGAAGTTGCAACACAAGAAAGTCGCCTGGACCCAGGCCCTGTAATCTCGGGCGATTTGGCTGGGACAACTGCGATTTGGGCAGATTCCAGCCTGTGCCAATCATTCTGAGTCGAGCGGAAGGGGGCGAATTCCCTCAAGGCAACCGTATTGCTCAGAACAGGTTCTGCAGCGGAACAGGGCTGCACTGGGCGCCTGAGGTTGGGAGAAGGATGGGTGGTGCCGGTTGGGGGGGGGGGGGGGAAGGAACATAACCTCTTGGATCTCCGGCACGATGCACCCGAGGGTGCCCCACCCGAGCGGTGCAAGCCGGGGAGTTAATCAGCCAGTGGAACTGGAATGGTGGCGGTGGCAAGAGGGAGAAGCGGCTGGTGGGATGGAGGGGCCTGGCTGGTGAGGACCAGAGGATGTGGCCCAGGCCGAGGGACGGGAGCCCAGCCCGAAGAGCATGCCTCTCTGCCCCCTAGCCTATTTGACATATTT